GGACACACGGCCAGCCCTGGCCATGTCGTGGGTCCGAGGTCAGCAGTGTGAAACCACCAGCCCTCCGTGAGAGAGGGGCTTCCTACTCCGTGAAGTTAGTCTCGGAGACCCTAAGGGCAGTCCCCATGTCCTACGGGGGCCCCATGAGCCAGCGTCCATTCTCGGGCAGCGAGGGAGGTTTGGGCAGGTGTTCACTCCGAGTGAACCTTAGAGGGTTGGACTCTTCCAGCTGGTTGGGAAGGTGGAAGCTCACTTACAGCTCTCTCGGCGGGCCACGTCCCTCCTCAGGTCCGTCCCTCAGCAGAGGCGGGGGCCCAGCCTGGTGGCTGCTGAGGGCCTCGAGGGTCCTGCTTTATGCGAGTGGTTACTGTGTCAGGCTGCCAATGATGAGGTCGGCAGTTCCAAACCACTAGGTGCTCCCAAGGGAGCAAGATGAGGCTCTCTGCTCCCATAAAGGGTTGCACCCTGGGAAACTCACAGGGGTGCCTGCGAGTCAGCATCCACTCGCTGGCGGTGAGTCAGCTCTTCCCTCGCCCCCCAGAGAAACACAGCCAGGGAGGGGCGAAGGTGCTGGGGTCCCACCCTCCATGAATGGGCCTGAGCAACCCCAGGGGCCAAAGGGCTGCTGGCTCCCACGGAGGGGCCAGGGGCCAGGCCTCCCGTCTGCCCAGGCCCCTCTCCTGACCACGGAGACAGTGTTCCTGGGCAGAGGTTGCACTTGGGAGCTAGCCGCCCACCCACTTGCGGGATGGTAGCAGGCCAGGCCCAGAGGACTTGGCTGGCTCCTTCTCTCCCCACCCCTACCTTTCCAGGGCCGGGTGGCACCCCTTCGGTGACGAGGCCATGGTGCCACCTGCTGGTACTCTCCCTGCTGCGGGCTCAGGATTCCCAAGGTGTCCAGGGGGGCCTTCTAGATCCCCAAGGCTGCTGGATGGAACCCTAGGACAGCTCCCCACTGCCTCGTATGGATCCGCATGGGCGATTAGCACACTGTCTGACCACTTTTCGGAAGTTTACACAGACGGGAGAAAGTGGTGGAAGCCTACAGAGCTGCCCGACCGACCCCTGACCCCAGCCGGCTGGACTGAAGGAGGCGGAGCCACGGTCAGCTTGAAGGTGGTGGAGCCACGGTCAGCTTGAAGGTTTACTGCAAAAGCCGCTGGATGTAACACTTTGTGGGGTCTTGTCCCCCTGCATCCCCGCCGCGCCTGGCCCTCTCTCCGCGGTCATTCGTACCTGCTGACCCGTGCTGTCAGCCCGCCGGTCGCCCGCCCTGTGTCGCTGTGCTTGGGGTCTCTGGAGAGTAGGGAGGAAGGGGAGGGGCAGCGAAATGGGACGGACCATGTGTCCCCTCCCCTCCCTCTCGCGCCCCGCCCCTTGGGTGAAGCTGGGCGCAGGGCCCAGGTGTGCCCACCTGCCCAGGTGTGGGCAGGGCGCGGAGGGGGGTGCGGGCAGGGCCAGGCGGGGCCCCGGTCCCTGCGGAGCCGCCTGGAGGCGGAGCCGCCTCGACGCGGGTTTCTGCGGCAACGCGGCGTCCCCGGAGCGTCCAGTGCCTGGCTCTGCAATCGCTGCGCTCTCCCCATGGCCGCCCCCCGCAGCTCGCGCGCCCAGAACCCGGCTGGTGAGTACCTGGCCTGGGGAGGCGGCGAGCAGGGTGTCCTGGGGATGGGCCTCGCCTCCCCCTCTCCCTCCCGGCCCCTCCTCTTCTGCCCAGCTCCCCTGGGGAACCTCTATGCTGGGAGCCGCACCCTGCCCACCTGAGTCCTGCCTCTGGCTTCTTCAGGCCGCTGGCACTACTTGGAGACTGGGCGATCATTTGTCCGTCTGTAGATGGGAATGAACAGGTCCTGGGCTGGGGGTCCTAGCCCTGAGGCAGGTCCTTATGGCATTGGGGTGGGGGTGCTCCCATCAGGAGGTTGCCCCTCCATGCAACCCCCCCAGGGGACCCAACAAGTGGTCCAGGGGCCTGAGAGTCCATGGGGCGGTGTGATCCTGGGGCAGGGATCTGCGTCCAGGGGGAGGACAGGAGGGTCAGCCTGCGCTTGTGCCATGTGACCAAGGCCAAGGCGACCGCTCTGTGCTTGGGGCTGCAGTGAAGCCCAGGGTTGGCCAGGAACCCAGCAGCAGCAGGGCCGGGCCTGAAGGGGCTCCCTCAGCCCTGGGAAGCTTGGGCGGCGTTGCCACTAGCCACAGCAGGTGGCATGGAATTCAGCCTGCTGGCCAGGGCTCTTGTTGGCCTTGGTCACCAAGGAGACTGGCCAGCCCAGGCCTAAGGTGGGGGAGGGTGGGGTGGACCGGAGCAGGTTGTGGGCACGCCCCTGCTGGTCTGAATGCACCCTTTACTGGCATGGCCGGGCTCTCCCTGTGGCCTAGGTGGACAGTGCTCCCCTGGGTCTCTGGGAGCCCCAGTGTGCAGTGCGCCAGGGGCCATTTGAGGGTGGGTGTGCAACAGGTGGGCCGGCTGGGGCTCTCCCGTGAGGCTTGTTTCCATTGCATGGGTGTAGTAGGGAGGCCCCGGGAGGGCTCCAGCCAGCTGTCCCTGTTTATCCCTGGCACCCGTCACCTTGCTCAGAGGCACCATCTGGTCTCCCCGATGCATCCTCCGCGGAACGGTCGCCCCAAATCACTGGCTTTGATGTCATCTGGTGCCCGCCCTCGCATCTGCCCCTGGCTGCATGCTCCGTGCCCTCTCGGGGCCCAACCAGCCTGGTAGCATCAACTGGCTTCCCTGAGAGTCCTGGGGGGATGCCACTCCCGGGCCGGCATGGGTCAGAGGGGCCCTGCCCCATTCAGGGCTGTCCCAAAAGTGGGGAGCAGTGCCCGCCCACCCTGCTCTGCAGACGTGTGTGTCTCCAGCTCTCGGCCTGGGCAGTTGTTGGTTTTCTGGGAGTTTGCAGCCCACCTGCTTGCTTCCAACTCGCTCGCCGGGCGGTGGTGTCGTCAGAGGGCACAGCCTTGGCACCAGGGCCCACGTGTCCTCACCTCTCTGTCCTCTAGGGGGCGGCCCTTGCACAGCCAGCCTCTGGGAGCCTCCACTGGGGACTCCCGGAAGGTCACAGGGCACGCCTCTGGTCAGGGTTGGGGCCAGTTGTCCTCTGATGCTGAGGGATGGCCACCGGGTCTGAGGATGGCTGCGAGCGGGCAGTTATTGCCCCCCTGCCCCCTCTCAGCTGAGCCAGCTGCCACAGCCTCTAAGTTCTTTGTGGTTTCAAAGC